TTTCTCAGTCACAGTAAGTTTTCAAGTAAGTCAACTTGATGTCATCACTTAAACGGTCAGAGTCGAAAGTGCTTACAAATTTGACCAACCGTGCCAATTTGAAAAATTGCCATTATACCGATACAATTTCCATTCTGGTAGCGGATCTTTACGGTTCATGGAAAAGATCTTTGCGAGGTCTTCTTCGAGGGTTAAGGATTTTCATTTGTTTTTTTTTTGCGGATTGCGCGGATCGTTTCGATCAACGTCATTGTTGGCGTTTAAGTTTCATTAATTGTAACCTCTAACTCGGGTATCCGGAAATTGGTTGAGCAGCATTTAAATGTACTCAGACTCTGGCTGCAAAAGACGCTTCCACCACTGGTAAATGGAAAGTTTGAACTCAGTTAATCGAAATTCAGTTTTGGTACATTTCAAAAACCAAACTTAGACGACGGTTGAGCTAGAAGTGGACTCTGTCTAGTTTTCGCGGTTTGATTGAAATCAACGAGCGGCACAATAGAAGAAAAAGGACGTTTTTTAAAGGTGCGGAATCATTTTAGTGTTCTTTGTTTGGATTATATCATTCTCGGATTTAGAATGGAACGGATTTCTGACTTTGGTAGAAAATTCATCAAACTGACGAGGCGAGAGAGATATCGACGGTTGGAATGATATATTGAAAATTGAGTTTTACCAGAAACCAGCAACACTCGGTCAAGATTCGGTTTTTGTGCCGACTGAGTTTCTTCTGTTGCTCGTTTAACCCAGTTTTCATTTGACTCCCGGCGAGACTCCTCTCGGGTCAGTTTGAAGAACTTGCTTTCTCTTTCCTGTCTTCAAGAATCGCATTTTAGGTTAAAGTAGCTGCAGTCAATTTAATTCGATTTTCCTTGAACTTTTCTTCCAGTTTCATTTAAGTTTTCTGCTGCTTCCAGAAAAATTTAACCTGATTTTGCTGCTCTAATTTTTCACGGCGTATTTTGCGATTTTCAGCTATTGACTTCTTTGGCTTGAAGTAGTTGACGCAGATAAGTACATCGAAGATTCGACGTGACTTTTGTTTGATGTTGTGGTAGAGGTTGAAGATATAGTTTTCAAAGTCGGAGAAGGTCTGTTTGATGCCAAGGCGGTGTCGGTCTTTAGTAGGAAGTTCATTGGTTTTATGTTTCTTCGTTACATTTTTTTAACGATTCTTTAGAGCTGTGAAGCCACTTTTCGATGTTAACAGTGCCGTATTTCCTATCAATGGCCTCAAGTATGCACTCATCGTTTATGACAAATTCCGTTCAAGCTTCATTCTAGCTTGTGTAAGAAGGTTGATCTTGATTTCAGGATCAGACAACATTGCTGGCGGAGACGAGAAGACGTTCGAGGTAAGCGGAGATGGGCGGTAGCCGTCATATAACGAGTGACAACTCTGAAAAACAGACAACCCTTTGAGCAACAGGAAGCAACGAAAGACAACTTGTGAGCAACAGACATTTGGTTTTGAAGTCTTTGCGTTGATTTTTGCCATGTTTTTTTTAAACTTTTTCCTGTATAGTTTTCAACTTTCAGCTGTGCCTTAAAATAACGGTTACAGTTTTGACTTCGATAAGAGCATTTGATGCATAGCTTGATATTGTTTTTGAAAGGTTTTATCTTCTGCATTTTTTTGAGAAGCAATGGTCTAAAGCAAGTTCAAGGGCAGGTTCCTATTAAGTTTGGAGAATATTGTCTATCCCTTCTCTGTGACAATAAATTATTGCACTTATTCGGTTTCGATAATTATTTTAAAATTGATTCAAATGCAAGGCGGACAAACTTTGAAAAAAATTGCGAACATTTTTACTTATAGAATTAACAATTAATTCATGCCACAAAACATTATCATTCGCGGAAGCTGACTGTTGCTTTTAATTTGTAGGAAGCTAACTGTGGATCATAAAGCATAATGCAGGTTTCTTTTGATTTTTTGCAAAGTAATTTAAAGAAAGTCTTCTTAGGGCTGAAATTTTTTTGCTATCTATCTTTCGGCTTTTGGGGCTAGTTGAGTTGTCTCCTGAATGCCTCAGGATTAATTGTGCTGATGAAATAAGGCCAGTGTATAGAAATTATGAGATTTTTACAGTCTTCACGTCTTCATTTGTCCACTCCACTTTTGGGATAAAAAGCAGTCCAAACCAAATTCATCAGGTCATCGAACTCAAAAGCAGCAAACAAAATCGATGATATAGAATATATTAGCAAGTAGAAGAGAAGAATGCAGAGGACCAGCTGGGCAATTTGCTAGGCGAGTAACCAGAAAGGACGTAGTTTGTAATAATCGTCGCGTATAACTTGAACAAGTTTTTTAGGGAAACAGGTTCTTTTCCCCAAAAAATACATTTTTTCCGCGCAACTTCCCTTGTTTCCCAATAATATAGTCTTTCCCAATTTGCGGTACCAAACATACGTATGACTATAAGGACGGCCGTTTAAATGGTCGGGAAAACCTCAAAAAGTAACTCAATTAATTTCGCGGTTTCCAAAATAATCGGTAATTTTTTTCCCATAATTCGAAAAATTTTTATTGACAATTTTTTCACAGTTTTAACCAGTTGTATATCTAGTAATTTCTGGAGGTGGGGCGGGTTTTCATACAATTTTTGAAAATTTTCTCGACCCTTTAGGTCGACCAAATGGATTTTCTGAGCTCTCCCAAATCACTATAAAAACCCTATATTGGCAAAATTTTCTGCGCGGCAGGCAAATTTTTCAAAAAACAGGCCGAAGGCGCCTTTTGAAAGCTTTAAGGGTCCGTCACCAAAATGGATATCGCAAAATAGTACAAAGGGGGACAGATTTCAGCAACTCCTGAGTATTGGCATTTGAGCAAACTAAATGATGTTTTGAGCACTTTTTGAAAAATCTGACTAAAATGATCCATTATTTCGGGGCACGCTCCCCGCAATTTTAGTGTTTATTATTACCTATCGCGCCTATATACAAGTTTTGGGTTAATTCAAACAAAATGGGTGTCGTAAAATAGAGCCAAAGGCGGAACCCATCGAAAAAATTTGGCAACCAGAACTGAGTGGAGCAGGCGGTCATAAAAATACAGTGGAGCAGGCCAATGGGAAAATTTTTTCCTTGCATTTTGTTTATTGTTCCGACTTTCGTAAAGAAAGTGACGGAATATTTGTGCTCAGGGTGGGTTTTTTCTTCAGACATATTTCAACTTTTTAACTAGCCATTGCCGACGCGGAATTTTTTAAATATCATTCAAAAGGTATTGTTGTCCTGAGCTTAAAATCGAAAGATATATCAGCTGTTATCTTTTTTCGTTAAGTTATGGGGGTTTAAATATTGCCATTTTGGCCAATTTGGGGCAATTAGAGCGCGATCTATTTCGCGCTATTAACGCGTAAGCGAAGATTTAATCCGTCTTCGAAATCGTTTAAAATTGGTTGAAGGAAGCTTATTTGCCATCATTGTTTTGTTTCTAGAAGAAAAATTTGTCACTTTGTACTTTAAATGGCGTGTGGGGGGATGATTTTCACAAAAAAATATCAAATTTTTTTACAAAATTTTTTTCGTTTTATTTTCTTTTTTATACATTTTTTTCCATGTTATTACTGCTCCATAGACCTTAAAAGGCAGTCGGAACATTCAGGGCTTCGCCCTGATTCGAGCAGTTTTGTTTTGCTTTTTTTGGTTTCTGTGTGAACCATTCAGCAAATAGGGACTTTCGCAGATTTTGACAACTTAGCCATCCTTCAGTCCCTCCAGCATGAAAATATACCACTGTTCCGTTCCACTCTTTGATAATGGTCCGAACAATTTTACGGCTACTTAATGTATAATTTGACAAAATCAAGTTATTTTAGATTATTCAAACTTGAATTTTTTCAATGAAGTTGCTGCAATGTACTGAAAGAACAAAATTGCTTACAAAAAAATGAAGTGATGAAACTGTTGGTTGGGCTTCTGAAAATCTTGGTCATGTTTCCTGTCTCCCTAGCACTGTATTCTTCATTTCATTACTATTTTGCTTTTACAAAATTCCAAAAATTGATAATTGATCAGCAGTGGCGTGCACAGAAAATTTTCGGAGGGGGCGTGTTTTGGAAAACTTGTCAGTTTTTTTTTAGGTCGACCAATTTGACTTTCCAAAGTCAAAGTTTTTTTTAAAAAAAAGGCTAAAAATGACATTTTGCACCTTTTTAAAAAATTTTGACCAAAAAATTGCCTTTTTCTGACGCGCGCTCCTGTCTCATATTTAGTTTTAATTGGCACCGGAAGCGCCTTTAGAAAGTTTTTCTTTTGGCAGCCATAAGTGAGGGAAGGGGGAGGGGGGTTGCTCTTACGCTAGGTTGCTCGGCACGCTACTGTTGATCAGACTGATTTGCTTAGGATTTTACGGTGAATTCTTTTGTTCTGGATATCACATGGTTGCATCATTTTGCAACAAACTTTCGCCCAATCAAGCTTTTTATTGGCCACGTTAGTTATTGCTGGTCATTTTATGGGTTGCCAAGCTGCTTAGCGGATGTTGAGAGGCATGGCATACACGCTCTCACATGGTATACTCCATGCACACCACGTGATCAATATCGAATTCCCTTTAGCGAACAAAAGAGGTCGTTTTAAACATGTGCCCGCCAACTAGTCAGATTGGTGTCAAATTGCTCAAATATTTTCAAAAGCATTTCGAGCCACTTCAATCAAAAACATTTGCCAGGCACAAAGGAATTGCATAAACAAAGAATTAAGAAACCTTCCTGGCTTTCTTGTGGCAATCGATACCTGCCAAAAATTATAAACACCTTGAAAGTTTCAACTGTTTTAAATCTGTAAGTGGTTCAAAAATTAACTCATGATTAAACAATATTTAACCAAAATGGTGCACAGGAAGAAGAAAGAAAATGTACATATTGAAAACTGATATTTGTTTGCTAATTTTATGAAGGTTCCAAAAAGGTAGCACCTGCGTGTTTGATTCCAGATCAATGGTTTAATTTCTTAATTCCTTCGATGTGAACAATAAACATGACTGATCCATCCACCCCTGAATAGCAAGAATAAAAGGACAGAAATAATGATTTTTTGAGGATTTTTGACTACCATCCAATCATTTTGTCCCGTGTAAAATGACGAAAAAAATTCTGCCAGACTGCTAAGGTTCAAATCGGCTGTCTATTCTCGTAAGCTATTGATAAAATATTCAATAAAATCTTCTCAATTTTATTCTAAATATTTAACAAACATTAATTTACACCTGAAAATTTAATTATGGACCGGGAAAAGAGTTTTACTTCTCGTGACGACATGAAGCAGTATTTAGTAGAAAATGATATTCAGTATTTATTTGAAGTGAGTAAAACGGAGGCGGAGCAAAAAGCAGAATGGTCCAAGAGCTGAATGGGTCCAAGAGCAGAAAAACAGAAAAATATCACTTTTATTGATTAATACGGGCTAATTGATAAAACAATTGTTATAATCGTCAATAATACCAAAAAAATGAATAAAATATGCATGAATTGAACAATTTTATAAATTTTTTTAAAAACTAAATTTAAAAAAAATCTCGATTAAATTATTCAAATTATGCATAAACTATCGCTTCTTTGGTAATCTTGACAATTCTTATACTTAATTTACCCATAAGCTTATAAAATTTGATATTTTTGTGTTTTCCTGCTCTTGGACCATTCTGCTCCAAGACCATTCTGCTTATTGACTGGCCACCGAGTAAAACACCTGAACTTCTAAAGAACGCAATTTTTTGTGAACGAAATTCTCAAAACATGCCTTTTGTCACCCAGAGTGTACTAAAGTATCTTTTGTACTATATTAAGACCTCGTAGATCAGTCAAAGAAGAAGCGTCTTAAACATTTTGCTTAATTAAGAAATCACCGAGTGCCCCCCTCCAACCCCCTCCAACCCCCTCCAACTCCTCCCCCCCCCCACTTCACACGGGCAAAAATTTTATGGTGTAACGAGTGGTTTTACAAGGTTAATGATGGAGGCCAAAAATGTTTGCCATAGCCTATTTAGTCCGTATACCAATTTTTATTACAATCATACAATGTGAACAAAAGTTATACTTGTAAAACTTTGCAGGTGGGGGAAAAGGGAAAAGAGTCAAGGAGAGATTTCGAGGGCGAAAAAAAAATAAATTTTGAGGTGAGCCTGCGAATTCAAACCTCACCTAAACCTTTTATTCAACCTAATCTTTGTAGGTCGGATAAGTATGGAGGTGCGCTGGCTCTTTGGCTTAAAAAACCTTTGGTTAGACACATAAGTTGATTAGTTTTCAGTTCTGTTCAAACGTTTTTATCTTGGTTCGTAGCAAAAATATATTACGCAATTTCGTCTTTGTTCTTTTTTCAGGGAATTCTGACGGGACTGATGTACGTAAAACCAAGTGATCCCCTACATTACTTGGAAAAATGCATAGAGCTTGCAAAAACCAAAGGTATGGATTATTGAACCAGACCACCCATTATTAGTGCTCGTATCATTTTGAGAGCAAAATTGAGTCTTTGAAACCAATTTTACTTACCAAGACGTGTGAATGGAAAGCTTCATGAAAAAATTCAAAATATTTTTTGTAAAGTTATGAGGGTTTCAGGGTTACCATTTTGGCCAATTTGGGAAATTAGCGCGCGATATATTTCGCGCAATTCACGCGAAAGCGAAGATTTAAATCCGTCTAAGAAATCTTTCCAGATTGGCTGAAGGAAGCTTATTTGCCATAATTGATTTGTTACAAGGAGCGAAGCTTATCACTTTGTACTTTATATGGCGTGTGGGGGGATGACTTTCACAAAAAGTCTCAAATTTAAAATTTTTTTTTTTTACATTTATTTTTATGATATTACTGCGCTATAGACCTCAAAAGGCAGTCGGAACATTCAGGGCTTCGCCCTGATACGAGCAGTCTTGTTTAATTTTTTTTGTCGTTTTAATTTTTCAAAATTGTGGCTCTACGCTTAATGTTACTATTTAAATTATGAAGAACAAATCTCTTCACACTTGTTGTACCGACTTTTGTAACGATAGTAGCGGAATATTTGTGCTCGGTGTTTTTTTTTATTCCGACTTTCGAAGAAAACGGAATATTTATGCTCGGTGTGTTTTTTAATTCAGTCAATTTTCACCGATCGAAATAATAATCACTTTCATTAAAGTTTTTTCATACCCCATTGAAGAAACCGAGAGCTTGATTTCAATTGTAAGATGGTATTTCACCTCCGATTATTTTTTGTTAAGTTTTGGGGGTTTAAACATTGCCTAATTGGCCATGTTCTGGACTAAATTATGAGCGCTATGAAGAAATTTTCATAATGCTAATAGTGTAACGCAAATTATCTATGCGTAGCGAATTATCCCGCGCAACAAAAATATTCCAAATTGAATTGAGACTAGCTAATTGGTCGTATTAATTTCGTACAACTCAAAACTTTGATATTGTCCGAAATTTATAGGTTTTCAAAAAATTTTTCCAAAAACCATTTGATATAAATTAAAGGACAGTCTGAACATTCAGGGCTTTTGTTTTTATCTTCAGACAAATTTCAATTTTTCAACTAGCCATTTTTGACAGAACTTTTTACCTTATTCAGAAGCTATTGTGATTCTGAGCATAAACTTAAAACAAAATTTCAACGGTGATTGTTTTTCGTAAAGTTATAGGGGTTCGAAGATTGTCACTTTGCCCAGTTTGGGACAATTAACGCGTGGTATATTTCGCCCCATTAGCGCATAAGCCGATACTTAATCCGTATTAAAATTCTGGCCACAATTATTGAAGAAGTTTATTTGTATAATGATTTTGTTACCAGGAGCAAAATTTATCAGTTTGTGCTTTATTGGCGAGTGGGGTGATGATTTCCACAAAAAACCTTCTATAAAAAAATTTGTTTTCATTATATTTATATGTTTTATGTTTTTACTGCTCCCAATGCCTAAAACGTCAGTCAGAACATTCAATGATTCATCTTGATACAAGCAGTCTTGTTAGTTTTTCCACTCTTCTTTAAGATTTTTAAAAACAAACCTTAACACGCTATGAAAAATACGAAGAAATTGACGAGATGAGTTTCTAGCCATGATGTATTAAAATTTCCAAATTGTTTGCCTCAAACCAGTTTAGAATGATTTTTGATCCAGATTAAAACTAAATCGCCTCGCCTCTTACGCATTATAGGAACGAAATTAAACACACATTAATCTTCGAAATTTAGCCTAATAGGTAGTTTTAAAATCATCTTATTTTACATCATTTGATCACAGGCTGAATACCTTTTTCAAGATTGAGTTCAGAGCGTCATTATTATCCCAATTTGATTTTTAGTTCCAAATTAAAGCCAAAATTTGGCTGGAGAAAAAATCAACTCAGCATAATATAATCGTCATTTGTCAAAATTTGGATTAGGTGAATTATTGAGCGCACAGACAATTTAGCCAAAGACAATTCAGACAATTCAGCCAAAAATACAGAGACCATTTAGTCGCAGACACTTCGGCCAGTTTTTCAAAAAAGTTAGATACAAAAACATCGGAATTGGAGTTAATTCTCGTTTTAAAGTAGCGACTCTAAATAACTGACTCTAATTTTCGTGTTGAGTCCTACCCTATGTTGGCGCAACTGCACAATTAAATATTTGAAGAAATTTTAATTTTAGTCATATTGGCTGAAATGTCCGTGGCTGAAGTATTTGTATATTTTGGACTGAATTGTCTGAGTTTCAGATCGGTCAAATTTTCTGGACGCGCCTGGCGATATGTTCGCTTTGAAAGAAGTTACTCGCTTCAACTGCTCACTTAATACTTTGATGCGGAAAAAATTAATGCGAATTATTTATACATGACGAAACAATATCGTTTTCCAAATAGATTTGAGGCAAGATAATTGGCATATTAACTTTATATACATTATACGTTTCAAAACTTATCAGTTAATAATTGAGGGAGTGCGGTCTGTATTTAGACAACCGCGTGTTCATACTCGTCAGCAAGCAGACAAATACTGTATTACCCAATCAGAATCGAGATGAGAAAGCAAACGTTCGAAATAAATAATTAATACTTATTATTTTCTTCCTTGTCTCGATTCTGATTAGTTAATACAGTATTTGTCTGCTTACTGACGAGTAGGAATACGCGGTTGTCTAAATATTGCTATGTAACCAGAATCAACGCCTAAAACTGATACTTCGTTTAAAAAATGTCTCGGAAAAATTTCAAAACCAGGTAAAAGGCAGTCAAATGATTCAGTAATTTGCCCTGATATACGAGCAGTCGTGTTAAAAATTGATGCCAGCTAGTTCCTCCACTTATTTTTCTCCAATTGCAAATTGTGTTCAAAGTCGGATGAACTGGGAGCGTTCTTTTGTAATGGTGCTCCAGGAGCGAAGTGCGGTCCAAAAGTAGACTTCACCAACCAATCAGAATCGAGATAAGAAACGAACGTACGAAATCAATAATTAATTAGTATTCTTGCGAATATGTGTTTTTTTTTAAAACTTTTTTCTGATTGTTTTATGGCGAGTCTACTTCATGATCTTTTTTTTGGCTGCGTAACATCTCAAAGCATATTTCGTCAAAATCAGCAAATAAAAACCATGGACACGTGATGCAAATTTTTTTGTTCATCTTTTCTGCCAAAACATTAAGCAATCAATCACACTCCAGGTTTTCTCGATAATCACCCACCGGAAAATAAAACACCTTGCATCTACTGTACAACCTCCCCCTCTACATAAAAACAGTAAAATAACGCTAGAAATTTTGCTGCATTCTGATTGGCCGAAATTTTGCAAATTTAGCATGCTTGAAAGTCGCTCCCTTTCTTTAAAGGGATGTATCTTAAAATGTGCTTATCTTAAAAACAAGTTTTTTCAAAGGTTTTGAGACTTTTTAAATTTAATTCAGATAAATTAGACAACAAATAGCTAAAGTAATCTAAAACATTGGTAAACACAAAATAAACACTAAAACAAGACCTAGTAGACAAAAAAAATGACTTCATTAACTTGTTTTAGGCATTGGCGACTGTTCTTGGAGTGACTTCGTGGACATGTACGAGAAAGAGATCGGAGGCTCCGATCAGCCCCCGGAGAGTTCGAGGGAGGAGAAACAACAGACATTCAAAACCCAACAGAACTTTAAATGATCCTAATCAAGACTCAAAGGTTATAAGATGAAAAAGTACTAGCTAATCAAAATTATAAGAAGAGCTGTGCAAATTCATTCACTTATTTCTTGGAACAATTTTTTCACTTATGCATGCATTCACGACGTGCCATTTAACTCGAGCAACAGTACTGTGTTCACGACCTTCTGAGCCCTAATGGAATCGTCGCAGATCACGTCGCAATTTTGTGAGACCCAAAAATCTTGGTTCCGAAATTTCAGTCGCGCTATCTAACTAGCGCGAACCTATTCCTTGATGAATTTTTTGCTTTTTTTGTAATTTTTTATTTTTGAAAAATGTTGTCTATACAATTATTTGGATCTCTTAACTATTTCCCTCCTATGGTACCTTGTATCGAGTCTCTCCCCATTTAAAGAAAGAATCGAACAGTTACGCATATACGAATTTTGGACTTAGTGAACTATTTCCCCCCTATTGCGAGGGGAGGGGGGGATAAATAACAAGATCCAATTTCTTATACGTTTTGAAGTGTTCCTTCATTTCTAAGAGTAGTTCCAGTGTAGAAAATAAATTAGTACTAATAAGCATTACTTTTTACTTTCTTGATTCAATTTTGGGCTTTCTTTTCCACTGATACGGAATAGTTTACGATTAGCAAGTACTTTGCGACTCTTTTCTCCCGTCTCCAGCCTTTAACTCAACAGGACAGGCGTGTAGAATCGTAGTACTACTATTAGTCAAAAGTTTGAGGTATGGTAATGCGACTGGTTTGAGCTAGTCAAAAAGACGCAAATTTACCAATCAGAAAACTCATTCTACTCTGGTGTATTTGAATCAACAAAATTTTATTAATTATTTTCATTTTCTGGCGCCGACCTGTCTAGCTACAAATTAACAAAACACCAAGTTCTAAAATCGCAATGTCTCGCAAATATATTCTTTCGCTGTACTTTTTATGCGTACTAATTATCAAGTATAATAAACCTGTTTTAACTTTACCTGTTGAAAAACCAATCAATTCACGAGTAATTCGAGAAATTGACCCTGTCAATTCCGGATTACCTGAAGACGAGAGTGAACAAACTACCATTTCATCGGGTGAAGAAATAACAGCTGAGCAAGTTTTGCTGATGAAGGAGAAGTTGCGCCAGGTGTTTGAGTTGGACGATGCGATTCTGTGGAAGAATGAGCCGGGTAATCATCAGATGGCTCCGGAGTACATGGTCGATTTGTACCAACAAACTGCAGATATCCAGTCCGGACTGACCAAGGCTGGAAAACCATACAATGCTACATTAGTGCGCAGTTTCCACAATAAAGGTAAGAAAACACTATAAAATCTAAAAATGCACATTCATTTTATCTTTCATAATCACGCACTTGAATCACAATAAAAAATTATTTGTTTAATAAAATTATTTGTTTTTATTAATCAAAAATTATGGCACGTTGCAGCCCAAAATGAATCATGTATTCTTTGAGCTCATCCACCAATTATTTTACAGGTCTTGAAAACGAGAAGCATTTCTGGTTCGACGTTGGTAAGATGAAGGCACCTCAGAAGAACTTCGATGAAGATTCGTCACAACAGAAGTCGCCAACCATGCAAGGAGCAGAGTTCCACATCTACAAACATGTGAAGAAGACATCTAATGACACTGGAGAGAAGAAAGAAACTGACAATCACAAATTCATAGAAGTGAGTTGATGATGGTCTCAACTTTCAAATTTAAAAATTTTTTTCTCTAATCTTTTGTCTTCATTTCATTCGCAAATAAATGTTTCATTTGCCAAAAAAATGAAAAAAAATCGAAGAAATTTTTTTGAAACCTTTAATGACTAAAAACTTAACATATCGAACTCTAATAGCTCAACTAGGAATCAATTAAAATAAAATTGCTCTAACTTGATTACTTTTATTAAATTGATGTGCTGAATCTCATAGAAAAATTAGTAGCCATCCGATTCTTCAATAGCCTTTTAAAAACAAACACATTTTGAAAGCTTTTTGATCTTTCAGATGCGTCTCTACTCGATCTCCTTCAAAACTGGAGTTCAGACTTTCGAGCTCCTCGAATCCCGCCCGGTCAACTCCCATGGCTCCGGGTGGGAAATATTCCACGTGCACAACCCAGTCCAGTACTGGATCGACAACCCACATGACAACTTCGGACTGTACATTGCATTAAAAGGACTGGATGGAAAGGATGTCGACGAAGATTCAATTGAGATGGAAATTGTTACGCAGGCCAAGTCTAAACACAGTCCACTGTTGGTGTTGTTTTGTCAAGAGGGAACGCATAAAAAACAGTTTGCAGGCATGTTTTTCTACCCACAATCCCAATAATGAACTGTTCAAAAGACATCACAAACCCAATTCTAACAAACTGAATTTAAAGCCAACAAATTTCAGCAAAAAAGTTATCAGAAACCCAACTTTAGCAAAATCGAATATAAAAACCAAAATTTCAGCGAAAAAAAAAAACAAAAAATAGAAGGGAAGATCGATTACAGAGGAATATTTTGAGAAACACGATTTAGGGATTTCTTATTTTTCCATTCATTTCTAAGTTCAATAGACTTTTTGACCATGACCTCTTTGCGAATGATGCATTTTTATTTCAGAGTATAAACAGGCAGACAGTTTAATGGAATCGGTTCCCGAAAAGAAAGACTTCATTTCACGCAACAGAAGATCACCTGGACAAACTTCAACTCAAGCTGAAAACACTGACATAACAACTCAAGGCCGCGATCAAAAACTACGTAACCGAATGGTAGGCGACCAGCCGATGTGGTCACAAAGGCGAAACTGCGAGCGGCTGCCTTTGTACGTTGACTTCTTCGAAATCGGATGGTCAGGCTGGATTATTTCGCCTAGCGGATACAACGCGTATTACTGTCAAGGCGAATGTCCATTCCCGTTAGGTCAAATGCACCGACCTTCCAACCACGCCACAGTTCAGAGCATCGTCAATGCCATTGGCCCGAAACTAGAATCAGGTGCGAAAATACCCCAACCGTGTTGTGTACCCGACAAACTGTACAGTATAAGTCTGCTTTACTTTGACGATAGCGGCGACGTCATTTTGAAGCAGTACGATGACATGGTCGCAGCGTCTTGTGGATGCCACTGAAATGGAATTCTCCATTATTCCTTTTCCAGATATTTGAGATCAAACACTTTGTTGATGTATGAAAACCCCACGGTTTTGTATTGCAATTCAGATAAGCTATATTTATTTTTATATATTGTTGATACTATTTTTTGATATTAATTCAATCATAAGAAAAAGGTCTTGAACCAATTTTGTGAACAGAAAGATGAGAAGCTAAACCTAGTATGGCTGTGACTACTGGAAAATACCGATAACAATCACCATAACCTGATCTCTTTCTCCGATCACCAAAATTAGTGAAGTAATTACTTTGGGCGTGTTGCAACCGATTTCAAATACCATAGAAAGTGATTCCTACCAACATTAAGGGTAAAACTTTAAAACGGTGTCATTTAAACCCATTCTCATGTATCGAAAGAAAATTTTTTTCAGCAAGGAGAAAAAGTGGCTAGATTTTTTCATTGGCTATCATGTCTTTATCATGTCTTGTCAGTAACCAATGTGTCACTCGTCGTTCAATTTTAGCAAAAAAGATTAAATAATAAATCGATGTCACGAGCATGTCATTTTGCAAGCTTCAACTAACAAAACGCATTTGAAAAACCTCGAACGCTGGTCTCAATATGTTCTATTTGCAGAAGATCAATTCTACTTCGAATTGTAAACGCATAATGGTAACTTCCCAAATGAAATAATTCCCATATGGCATAAAAACAGAACTTTTCCGAAATGGATTAAATTTCAAGTTTTCCATGACACTCGCGCTTTCTAAACTACAATTTCTCCTTTTTTCGGAACGAGATGTGTGAACAAGATTTGAACTTATTGTTTCCAAACAAATGTTGAGTGACATTTTTGCTGGAAAAGTTGACGGATCTACTTAACAATTGCCCCCCTTTTAGTTGCCCCCCTTCAATTGTCCCTTTTAAGAAAGGGAGGGGGGCAATTGTTAAGTAGATTAAAATAACGGTCACATGTCATTTTGCCCCAAGTCAACTTGTCCCAGCCCAACTTTTCCGATTCCAACTTGCCCCAGATGACAACTTGTCCAACGCCATCTTGTCCCAGATAATAAAAAATGAAACTTGCCCCAGATTCTTTGTTATCCTCGTAGAACATAATGTCGGCATGAAGATGAAAAAGTTTTTTGTTGAACAATTAAGCTTGAAACAAAATGCGGAATCATTAAAACATGTGCTGAATCAAAATGAGTTCAAAGCATGAATGATCAAAATGAAAGCGGCAAAGTTTCAATGCAATTTTCATGTCGAGTTTAACATTTCAAAAGATTGATTGCAGTTCTTGTAAGCTCCTATAGCATAGTTAATAGTGCACAACACTTTTAATCAAGAAGTCAAGAGTTCAAAACTTGAAGAAGTCAAAAAATTCTAGCTTGAAATCAAGGAAACGGAAAACCGCAGGTACAGCCTCGCTCCTCAAACCCCCTTTACTGGGTAACCCAGAAAAGGGGCGGGGTGAGGCAAAGAGCAAAATTATTGCAGAATTGGCCTTTATCAGCTCTCAAAATTTGAACCCTGTACAATGGCTATAAGTTGAAAAAGTGGTGATTTTTTAAAAATCAATTAAAAATGCAACAAAATGCCGACAATTAAGTGGAAATCATGCCAACAATTTAAAAATTACGAAAGAGTTAAATGAACTAGTGCATATAAATAGTCAGCAACATGGTCTTTGTTGAAATTACTAGAAATGTTTTAGATTTTTGCATGAATATCCCGATTTTTTTTCCGCACTTGATTCTGCGTTCCCCCCATAGCCTTCAAAATGTTAAACTTCTGATTTGTTGAGTCCATTTGAACCTTATTCAGGAAAGTGTTGAGTCTTGGGTGGCTGTCACTCCAAGGTGCCAACCTTCAACGGCGTTTGTCGTTTGTATCAAGCCTTCTGCTGCTTCTTGGGAATGGTTCCAGAGACTCATAGGGAATAACGGTTGCCTGCTGTTTCGCCCGATTGTTTTGCCAGTTTTATAAACTCTCTGAAAGTATGAGGCAAGTTCGTCAATTTTATCTGACAGGCTTTGCTAAAGATCTAATTGGTCCACCACATGCTCAATCTTCTCAATGACGCTCTCGAACGACTGTTCCACTAAATCAGTTGGGACAAAACTGAGAGCGGGTATTAAACGCAGTGCTAAGCTCAGCTCGCAGTTGTTTTCATAGGCTTTCTTTAAACCCAGCTCGTTAACTTTGCGTAAAAAGGCCTGGCAGAGGTGAAAGTAACAGCCTTTGATTGAAGACTCCGGAAACGCACTGGTAAAAGCGTTTACGGCATCTCGTTCAAAATCTAGTAGGATCCTCGATGGTTACGCGTTATCAGAGCTGGTAAGCTGGTAAATTTGCATTGGGCAAATTTTAAACGTACCGTCACACAGCCAAAGAGAATTTTTGACTCGGAGGGCATGAGCATTATCTCCATCACCGAAAATCAAAATTCGCTCAGGATCCATTACTCCACTGTCGAATAAACAAAAATCAGAATATTCCGTCGGAATTATGAAATGCCTGTCTTTAATGATTGGCAAGGACGGGACCAAATTCTGTTTCTGGCGGCGAAAAGTTCTGTTTATTGCTGCACGGCAGGGCAAGGATAATTGAACAGCTTTCTCATCTGTTACTTCATGGAGACAAGTGGCGATTACACTACTATTAACAGGTACAATTTGCTACCTGGCCTCCTTTTTCATTTGATGCATGATCTGGTTTTCCTCAATTTTCCCAGGTCTAACATCGTGGCTGCGCTTATTTTTTGTTGATACGAGTTCATCTCCTGCTGTGACGGCGAGCATGCGGCATTTGTGTGAACTGTATCTTGCGCATCTCCAGAGCTCAGTAGTTTCTGTCGTTTGCTTTTTTGTGAAACGTGTCCGTCAATAATTAGCGTTCTCTTATTTTGTTGAGATATTCCCCACGTAAGTTGACTCATAGTATTTATGTTGGATATGTAGAACAAAATGGTAAACGATAAAGCAAAATGAAAGAATAGTTGTGTTTGATTTTGTTTCAAAGGTGCTAATTGTGGATTATTGTCAAATTTTGGCGTGTAATTACCAAAAATTATGTTTTTTTTTAAGGCTCAGCTTCAATAATTTTTGATTAGTCTTTTGTTATCTCAAAACGGCTCCAGTGTACATTAGCACTTGCTGGTCCTCAATTTGAACATCAAAGAATCAATTAAAAGTGTTAAGTATGGGACAAACTGCATAGGACAAAATGTCATGTGGGGCAAGTTGGCATAGGACAAGTTGCCATGTATGGCAAGTTAGTATAGGACAAGTTGGCGTAGGGCCAATTGACTTGGGGCAAATAGTCTTGACATCAAATTAACACATTTTCGACCGATCAGATTGCAGCAAAATTATAATTCTCAATACAAAGCTTTAGCGCTAGCTCACTGCTTTTATTAATAGGGGTGGCAATTTTTAAGTAGATACCAAAGGGAGGGCCATTGTTAAGTAGATCCAAATTGACCACACCAAACAAATTACTAGCCACTTATGCTTTTGTTAAAAATTCTTTAAAAAGTTTTCCAGATAATATCAAACAACAATTGAATTGACAACTTTACAACTTTTCACACATTGTTCAGTAAAAAAAGATCTCTCAAAATATTCTTCAATGCAATTGTTGCATCACAATTATGTCATTTGGGAAATTTCTCATTTTATGCCATTTGGGAAATATGCCATTTGAGACGTAATCGCCTAATGTCTTGAATCTTCAATTGTGCTCAATTGCATTAGATCGTTATGCGTTAAGTCGGAGATTCGACTCCCTGCCGAAACAAAGGGTTCCAGTTTGAACTATTTAGATATATCGATATCCATATTTGATGAGGGACACTAAATTTTTCTAAAGGCGCCTTCGGCGCCAACATATACTAATTTTGGGAGAGGAGCGCGCGCCAAAAAAACGCGATTTCTATTCAAAATTTTCCAAAAATTGACTAAAAACGCCTTTTTTGGCCTGTTTTCGCAAAATTTCGGTTGCGGCGCAGAAAATTGACCAAAACAAGGTCTCTTTAGTGCTTTGGGACAGCTCAGAAAATCAATTTGGTTGACCTAAAAAAAAGTGAAATTTTTCGAAAATTTTTCGAAAATCCGCCCCCCCCCTCCCCTCGATAAAATCCCAGATCCGCGACTCATATCAATGATTGTCAAGCAACGATTCATGTGTAACTTATTTAATGAAGCCAACTTTAGCCGAAGGCTGAGTCATTTGATTAATCGTAACCACAGGCAATTCTGCGGTTTTCATACCTTCATTTTCTGACCGTATATGAGCGTTTTCTTTCAAACCGAAGGCGTTTTCAAAATTTTGATTTTTAGTTTCATTTTTCAAACATTCTAATAATGACTTTTCTCGCGCATGTGTGCAATGAAACTTCCAAAAAAAGAAAATACTTGATAGTTAGTTCTGTTGTACCTTTTGTTTACAAATTTGTCAAATATTTTAGAAAAAAAAACACATCGTTACTTTTATGTCTTTGACCATTTTTGTTTTTGAAAAGCTAGGTGCTGAAAACTGAAAATTCAATGAACCGATACATTTTTTTGCTTTTGCATTGCTAGCTTTATCACCTCGTAAGTTAACAAGTAACCAGCAACGTTTCAATGGTTTCTTGATCGGCTTAGTGCCTCTTAATGAAATCACTCAGATAAGCAACCGATTTGTTCTCTAACCAATTCGTGCATTTGAAAAGCTTTTGAGTTAATGCATGGCAGATTTGAAGATGTTTTGAACTGTTTTCGATTAGTACGACTGGAGGTTTTTAAATTTATTTAATCGTAACTTTCTTTTATCGGAGCTGTAGTTTTGGCAGTTGAATTCGCATAGAAACTGAGCATATATGGCGTGTCACCAGGGGCGGATTTAGGGAGGGGGGCGGGGGGGTGCGGACGCCTCCCCCCTCAGGGATTCGAACCCCTGCCAACCCAAAGGGTCCCCCCTTTGATACTTTTTAAGAAATCCATTTTTGGCCAACCGACCCTAAAATTTTTCTAAAGGCGCAGAAAATTTGGCCAAAACAGGGTCTTTTTACTGCTTTGGGAGAGCTCGGAAAATCAATCTGATCGACCTAAAAAAAAAAAAAGGTCGTCAAAATTTTCGAAAATTT